AAACTAGAGACGGAGACCATAAACCCATTAGGAAACTGTTTACTGACATAATAAATCATGTGAGAAGTCGGCTCATATGTCAATAAGACTCAATACTTTTTTGCAGCCAATGGAATAATGCAGCTTTAAGACACTTCTTCGTTGAATTTGCTGCTGGCGGGGCTTTTGGTCTTTAAGTCACTTGTTACAGCTAAAAATATTTTTGTATTGAATTGTCTTTCTTCTGTGTCTTTGTGTTTAGCTGAGTGAAAACTACACATGGGGCCGAGTCAAAGACCTGGTGAGGAAAACAAAACTGAGGAACCAGAGCAGACTGGGACTGACTTCCACCTCATTGAAGATGTCCTGCCCACAACTCTACATGTGAGGAATACACTACAGAACTGTCACTCTACTCTGTATATACTACTATGTAAAGTGTGTATGGACCATATACACATAACCATGCATTATTTTGGCATTATACTAAATCAGTGAAAACCCATTTTTCCCCACGAGTTTGTCTTTTTTTCATACACTATATGGTCAGATATATGTGGACACCCATGGCCAGATTTAGTACTCAATCAAACTGCAGTTTTTATTCCCACTTCATGAATACTTTCTAGTCAGCAACAACATCATTGGGACAGAACAAAAGAGAATTACATAAAAGTTAAACTTCCTCAAAATACAGACAGTCCCCAACCACATAATGGACCGCACCAGGCACAGACAGCCCTTCCAACCCCTACTGAATCCCTTCAAGACAGGAACAGCCTTCATCTTGACATATTACATAAGCTTGTGCATATCTGCATTCTTGTGACTAAAAGAGAATCATCCTGTTTTATCTTTCCTCTAAAATGCTAAAAAATCTCAAACCTGTTTTCAAACTCTCTTACAAAGCCCAAAACTTTTAGTTCTTTTGTTTTTCTGGTGATGTCTCATCCTTTTTAATTGAAATGGCTCCAGCTCAAAACCACTGAAAATAAGCTGTGCGAGTTTCCCTTGTTTGTTGAACAAAACCTTAAAAAAAGAGAAGGAATTCAAGTTATTTGACTGCAGTGAACAAAAGCCAGCATGAGAGAAGAGAAAGGCATTTTTTGAGGTGGAAAAGTGGTGAATTTTGGGCCAGAAGAAGAGTGTGACAGGTTCCTGGCAAATGGAGATAAAAGGAGCTATCAGCTTCATTCTTGCCTGCGAGAGGAGGGGTCTGCTTGTGGATGAACTGTGTTTTTTTTTTTTATTTGAGAGGTTGTACAGTGCAGGAATCTGATGGCTGCTGGCCCTTCAGCCTCTCCCTCTGTCCTGACTGAGCTTGGCACGGACCCAGATGAGTAGGGTTGGAGAGTCAGGCCTGAGGTATGCCTGGAGGAGTGGGAGAATTCCCCCCATGAATTTAAGCTGTGGCCTGGTGAGATATGGCTGCAGTCCAGGATTCATTTGAAAGAACACCACCCTCCTGCTGAGACATGCACGTTGGCCTGCTGTAGAGCTTCTGACAATGTGGGAATAACAGACAATAAATGTTTTCTCATACTCCCAGGCTGAGCTCCCATGATGCAAACTGAAGGAGTGTCCACCAGAAATACTGTTAAAAGTCAGTAGCTCTCAGTAATAACTGTCTCCTCTTCTTTACAGGCCTGATCGGGGACCAGTAGAACCTGCTGGCAGAAACAGGAACTCCATGATCACCTTGGGCCACCAGAGCAAAATGGACTTTCTTTGGCAACAATAAAGATGCAGGTATTTTTCATCATTAGTGTCATACTTAAAAGGTTATATATGTACGAAATTCACTTGCAGAGTCAATATCAATACACATACAGAGATAGACCTTTTGTTTAACCAGAAAAATCCGTAATATCACTGACCAGACTCCATTGACAAAAACGGTAATTTAACCTTGTATATCATCATAAAATCCTAACTTCATTCAAAGTGGACAGAAACAAAATAAACTTCACCAAAACCGTCTTTGTTAGTCTTCCCACTGTTCCAACAATTACCAACTCAGGCAGAGGGAGTGTGACACAATGACTCTACTATATCTTTACATAGAGAATCGATTATTTGCTGCTATATTCATTATCTAAATCTCTCAGTTAGAGATTTTACAAAAAAATGTTGAGCTCCGGGTGACTGGGAGCCTGTGATGTTTGGTCTCTGCAGAGCTGTTGTGAAGCTCAGTGTGATCAGCTCTGGCCATTAACATTTTGGCTGACCCTGCCAGCTCCCGGCTAATCAAAAAATAGGCTAAGAGGTGGAGCCTGATTGCTGAAAACAGCCGCCTGTGATGGCATCCACCTGTCACTCAAAGCCACCACGCCCTTAATTATGCATAACTTTAAGCCTTAATATTATGTAAACAGCCGGTACAGTTGTCATGAACGGGATAATTAGCTATAAACACCAACAGTGTTTTTTGTACCAGGCTGTAAACATGTTTATTTCTGCTGTAAAGTTGGGCATTATAATATGGGGCCTTATGGAGATTGACTCACTGCAGTGTCAATTGGCTGTTAGAGGCAGTTTTTTTATTTCAGTGTTGGCTTCATTTGCAGGCACGGAAGTTGCTGCTTGATGTAAACATGAACTCTCCACTGCAAATATACTGAAAATTGACATTTTCTTATGTTTTAAAACATGTCCAGAGGGGATCTTTAAGGGGAAATGGTGCTCATCGGAAATAATAAAAATATCAACAATCAACATCAATAATATGAGACAGGACATGAACCCAAGATGCAGGTGTTGAAAGCAAGCACTGACCTGAATGCATACACGACTCTATGAACCCCATACTGAGAGAGCACTTTTCTAAACTCTGCCCTCCATCTTTGTGTTCTCCTCATATCAGATCCAGATGGTCTTGTGCTGGGAAGAGGAGGACACCTAAAGTTTGACTGGAAAAGAAAAAGGAGGTAACTGCGAAGAAAGAAGAAAGTGAGGGGATGTTGTTGCTGCTGCATGTAATGGAGAATGGGAGTATTTATGTGAGACTCATGTAATGTATATTGTAGTGGACATGAAAAATATAAATGATCCTGGATTAAAAAGACGAGGCTACTATATGTCGAAATGATCTACACTGTGATGTAGGTTAACTGCATATACATTCTCTGTTGATACTATCTACACTAGTGTATGTTTCCGTTAGGAAGCTGCAAATCTGTAACAATCCAACTGATGTGAACATACACATTCTATAACTTTACATTTTGTATAATGTTGTAAATGGACAGATGGCAGACTGCTTTGTACAGTGTGTTATATAACTGGAGCGCATGCAGTGATAATGCATGAACCCTGCAGGGAACCAGTGTATCATATATCATGTTAATATATGAACTGAAGATAAAATGTCAGTGAGTCTCTTCCATCAAACATTTACTTTTTTAATTTTCAGCCCATAAACTGATGATAGGTGGTTGGGATATAACTGGAATATACAGTGGGGCAAAAAAGTAGGTTCACGGTACGTCCCCCCATGTTGGTTCTGGGATTTTGTCGCACGTTCGTTGGATCATTTTGACCCACGGGTGAATCGTTGCTCGTGGACTTCCCGCGGATGAGGGGAGGATTATCAGTGGTCTATGTAATGTCTTCCGATTTTTCTAATAATTGCTCCCCACAGTAATTTTCTTCACACCAAAGGCTGGCGCTTACCTATTGCGGAGAGTTCAGTGCTCCAGCCTGGAGTGCACGGTCTACAATTTTTGTTTCGCTCGGGCCTGCTCTTTGACAGCCTCTTGTGGGGTCTTCGGCCAGTAGTGGCGTTTGGCAGTGTGATTGTTTTGAGGTTTGTGCGACGGTGTCGTGTTCGACGTACTGATAACGAGTTGCGAGACACAGGTGCCATTAAGACAGGCCCGTGTAACGACGGCGTGGTAGCGGAGGACAGAGGAGCCCTCTTAAAGAAGAGAGTTACAGGTTCTGTGAAAGCCCAGAGAACTCTTGCTTGGTTTGTAAGGTGACGCGAATATACTTATTTTGATTTTCATTTTATATTTTATTTGTTATTAAAAATCCAGTACGAATTGTGGATTTTCTGGATTTTTTTTGCCCTTCATTTGTCTCTCAGTAGTTTGAAGTTGTACCTATGATGAAAATTTACAGGCCTCTTCTCATCTTTATTAAAGTGGGAGAACTTGGCACAATTTTGGTCGGCTGGACTT